CCTTATCCCATTCTTGGGCACTGGGATGTCTTTGAAGGGGCATCCTGCCATCCTTCCCACCCCTCATTCCTGCTTTGAGCACTGGGATGTCTCTGGAGCAGCATCCTGCCCACCCTCATCCCATTCCTGGGCACTGGGATGTCTCTGGAGAAGCATCCTACCACCCCTTATCCCTGCTTTGGGTACTGGAATGTCTCTGGAGGTGCATCCTGCCCATCCCTGGGCACTGGGATGTCTCTGGAGGGGTATCCTGCCATCCTGCCCACCTTCATCCCAGCCCCAGACACTGGGGAGTCTCTGGAGGAACATCCTGCCCATCCCTTATTCCATCCCTGGGCACTGGGGTGTCTCTGGAGGAGAATCCTGCCCACTCTCATCTCATCCCTGGGCACTGGGGTGTCTCTGGAGGGATAGCCTGCCATTCTTCCCACTCCTCATCTCATCCCTGGGCACTTGGATGTCTCTGGAGCAGCATCCTCTCATCCTGTCCACCCTCATCCCATCCTAAAGCACTGGGGTGTCTCTGAAGGGGCATCCTGCCACCTCTCATCCCTGCCCAGGGCACTGGGATGGCTCTGGAGGTGGGAAACCACCCAGACTGCCCATGGCTGGTGGGAGGATTCACTGCTCTTCTCCAGGGTGATGGTTCTTGAGCTCCTGTGACATCCTGACCCCTCAGAACCTGGCTGGGACCTTTGGGAAGCGAGGAGCTCTTCACCTGAGGGACTTTGCTGGGAGGCACCTGGATCCCAGCTCAGGTGTTCCTGATGTTCCTCCAGCACAGAGCTTCTCTCTCCATCGAGCCACCCTCACCTCAGCCTGTCCATGGGGACAAAGATCTGGCCCCTTGTCACCACCCTGTCCTCATTCTCCTGTTTTCCTCTCCTTTCATTTCTTTCCTGGTGTTTGGGGTGTTTACCTGACAACTCCAGTTAGCCCAGGGCTTCTCAATTCCTGTGATAAAAGTCCTTAAAAAACCATTCTAAAAATTACACATTGAAATAATTATCTTCACTAAGTGCCCAGGGCCACATTTCTTACATTAAAGGTGATTTTAGATACTTTAGTTTGTTTTCTTAATTAATTTCAATTCCCTGGAAAGCACAAGCAGGAATAGGGTTTTTTTCCTGAATTTGCAGGTCCACAAAAAAAAAAAACCAAAAAAAAAAACCAACAACAAAAAAATTCTTGATGTTAGAGCTACCCAGGCAATCTCCCCTCATCTAAAACAAGAATTCCCAAAACAAGAATTCCCAGTTTAGATTGTGCAGCCTGAGGTTGTCTGAGCCCGTGGCACTGAAGGATGAAGCTCCAGAAAATTGAAGGTGCTTGGAGAGCTGAGCCCACCTCATGTTCCTCAAAGATCTGGACCTGGGGGCACCTGAAATTCCTGAGATAAGGTGGGAACCCCTTCTCAACATTCCCCAGGTGTCATCTCTCATCCTTTCCACCCCCACGGAGCATCCCTGAGGATTTAAAGATATTTTCTGGAGTTGTGTGGTTGAAGTGAAGGTCAGCCCAAGAGTCTGCCTTGGTGGAGGGACAAGATCTTAATTCCTTTGCCTCTGAGATGCTGAGATTAGAATTCTATTTTCAGCACTGCTGGATTTCTCAGTGGCTGTAATGAGTTCCAGGTATAATTCACTCTCCATTCCTTCCTGAATTACAGATTTTAATGTGTGAAGCCATGGCAAGCAGCAGAAGGAGAAGGAACATGTGTCTTCTGTCAGTAAATAAGCTTCTTCTGTAGATAAATCAGATTTTTTACAGTACAAATATAGGTTAGAAGAGGAAAAGTTCATGCCTGGAGTCCTGGGACTTGGATTTTCAGGCCTATGAGGAGCTTGGAAAGCAGAGGAAGATAAACATCTCTCCCAACCAGAAATATTTTGGTCATGTCACATGGTAAATAGCTCATCAAGGGATTGATTATACCCAACTTGGTGTTTGCTTATCATCTGCAGCTTGAGCACACTCAGCCTGTTCCCCAGGGATGGGCTTGGAATGTGGGTAATGAGGAAAACATGGAATAGATGGAGGGGGAAAAAATCTGGGATGTGATCAGTGGGAAAGGGGCTCCTGAGCCTCCCTGTGCTGCTCTGGCATGGGAAATGCTGAGGGCAGAACATGGAATATTTCTGTTTGTTTATTTGTTTCTAAGGAGTTTCTTCTCCAGCTAGGAGCAGGGAATCCACGGTTCCTGCTGGGAACAGGGGAGGAAGAGGAAGCAGGTGAGCTCTGTCAGGATGTCTCTCCCTGTGAGGAGTCATTCAGG